CGGCACCCCTCCCTTGACATCGCCGAGCTGCGGCGATGCAAGCAGCATGGGAAACTTCGATATCTGACGTTCATGAGCTACCACATAAGTCCAATCTGGTCTGGGAACGATCGGCTAAGGCCGATGCAGAACTATCGCTTGATTTAACCATTGGGAAGGAAGTCTCCGTGACGGCTTCGAAACCCCATGATCCTGACGACGCAAAAACACCGAGCGAAGCCACGCCGAAAAAACGACCAGTACTCACTCACAATGTGGTGATGGAACTTGCATTCTGATGCGTCAGAAGACGTGCCACCCTCGGCCACCCACAGTGCAGTCGTTGTGTGTCGGGGCTCGGGTCATTAGATCAAGGGGCGAGTCGCTGCCGGCTTCAGCTTCCACCACTGCTTGTATTGCAACACTAGGTACGTTATGCTCTAATCTATATTACACATACTAATCTTGATCGCTGCAGAGAGCCGGTGATTTACGAAGCAATCACTAAATCCTAGAGCCGAGTCATGATGGCTTACTATGCTGTTGAACTTTCCACTTGGGTTGCTCTTGTCGAACAAGAATACAGAAGGATTGCGATCGGGTCGAAAGCGCAACTACAACTCACTCAATAGGATCTCATATATTGATGCAAAACTTTAATCCAAGAACATTTTGAGTATGGCGAGTTTGAATTTGGGTGACTGACTTGTGAGGTCCGATCCGATGCTGTTATATATATTTATGTAGGATGTGTATGCAAAAATGAAGGTAAAAGTTGGTACTGCTGGATATCTAGAGGTGCAGTGTTTTAGTGAATGCAGGTTCAGCTTCTATCATTCATTATATATAAACGATGCTACTACGACGCGTTACCTATCACCTACTGACCTATACTTACCGAGGAAGGCCGGTTTGATACGATTGAAAATGGCTCGGTTTTTTACCTGGTGGATCGTCCCTTCAAGCTACCCAACCAAATCGACAGTCTAGATCTCTGATTTTGGCCCTTGATCCATGGAAATTGATATCTATTACTGACATTATACACCAGTCTTGCTCTTCCCAATATCTACCGCACTCGAGAGTATACGACGAATGCACCGGCTACAGCCGCTTTCCGAGGGGGTTAGAGCTGATCTGGTTATGTGTTCCGGCGTTTACCGGCGGGGCTTCAGACCAATAATTCGAGCCCAAATGTCAGCGACTGGGGCCCGGTGGCTGCTGGCTTGTAGTGTGTGGATGAAGCTCTACTTAGAGATAAGGAGTGTCACGATTCTTTCAATCGAATGCGTTTTATATGTACTTAACAACTATCAAATTTCTTTTTTTACAGACCTAGAATACCAAAATTTGGCTATAGCACGTTTCAAGACGAATTGGAACGTCGCATCGTCCGTATTATAAACATAAAAGTTACCAATGGTCTTTAGTTCACATGATACCGCTAAATTAGGTTGTCTCCATTTTTCGTATCCAGATGTTCTGGTGGTGCAAAGCAGAATGCAAAACTCCCTTACCTAGTTGACTTCATCTTTGGAAAGCGAATGGTATAAGTCTTACATCACAATCATGGCGACAAGGTGATTGAGGGGAAACAATGCCAATCCATCTCATCCGGACTCCCCAAGAGCCTAAAAGTCATCTTCAACTCACAAACTGACCTTATACGATGAGCTCACTTCTTGTGGGATGGCGTTCAAGCGAACGAGAACGGGTTGTTTAACATGCAGGGAGGACGGGTACAAGTGTGATGAGGGAAAGCCCTCGTGCGGCCGATGCATTCGACTTGGGAAAGACTGTAAGGGCTACGGCCTCAAACTCAAATGGCAGAATCCCAGGGGTCCGCAGCATGCCGATGAGAGCACTGGCGGACACCAACGCAAACGAAAGACCTCGAGTACCGACTTGGTAAGAATGCAGTCTCAGAACTCGATTGTGTCGGCTGTTCCACGATCTTTGAGCAATGGGCTGTCTCTGGGTCAAGCGTACTTGCTCGACCACTGGTGCACTACCTTGGCCGGCCTGATCACTATGGCGCCGACGACACAAGATCATTTCCATGCCCATATCACCCCTATGATCACCTACTCGACATCTCTTCGCTCGGCTGTATGCTTCATGGCAGCGCATCATCTCAACATCCTGAGAGCTGATTCTGCACTGCTGAACACCGCGCTCCGGCATCAAATCGACGCCGTTTCATCGTTGCGAAAGACCATACAAACCAATAACCCTCTACTGTCTCTCGCCGTCATTATGATCTTGCAAACTACTGATCGCCTCTTCACGACCAACTCAGGGGTGAACCATCTAGAGGGAGCCAAGGCCATCATTAACCAAGCTGGACCCAAGACCTGGGATTGCGACATCGGCGCGTTTCTGCTGAATCTCTGCTGCTACCACGATGCCGTCGTTTCAGTCTCCGGAAGGACTCCTCCCATCCTCGGCCTCGGAGGCGTCACTCCCTACGACGAGCAAATGGATCCCATGAAGGGCTTGCAAGTACTATGGGCGACAATCGGGCGGATCAGCAGCATGGAAAGCCAACATAACGGATACATCGATATCGAAGGCGAGTCCATCGAAGCTGTCCTCCTGGATGTTGACGCAAGCGCAAGTCGCGAGGGCGACGCAGGCGAAACGGTCCACGCCTACAAAGAAGCCGCATACATCTACCTGCACCGAGTCTGGCACAACGTCGGATCTCCGCACCCGCGGACTCTGCGACACGCGAGAGACTGCCTCGACCACCTATTCCGGGTTCCAGTGGCTTCGCCTCTCGTCTCGGCCCACGCATGGCCGATATGGACAGCCGGCTGCGAGACCATCGACAGCGCCCTTCGCGATCGCGTGCGCGAGAGAATCGTGCTGATGTACGAGGCGCGGCATCTTCCGTCCTTGAAGCGATTGGCGCAAGATATAGAAGATGTTTGGAAGATCAAGGACGAGGAGCGAGGCGCGACCGGTGTCGACAAGGTCGACTGCGTCAGAGCCATACTTGCCATGCGCAAGAGAGGCGCGGACCTGGTGTGAGTTGGGACACGGAACAAACCGACATCAATCAGTCCTGGAAAATTATGATGCAGACGATAGTATGTATAATTGGCTACCTATGCCTACGTCAACCATCACTTACCTAGCTGGTCTGGGTCATGAGAGCGGACCTAAGATGTATTTATAGCAGTGCGTGGATGTTGATTCGACCGAAGAGGCATGGTATCACTGCAACGCTGACCGCCAAGAGCAGAGCTTCATGGAAAGCTCCATAGCAACCTCGAAATCGCAGGGAATTTTGTAAGCACATTCCTATGATAGATTGATAATGCGATTCTATTCTTGCTACTCCTTGTACTCGCTTGTGCTAGCTTAGCGAATTGGGGGCGGTCAATGTTTCACTGTTTGTAGCTTCTGGATAATACGAGTATACATCATCAGCAGATGATGTCTCCTCTCTCGTGGGAAGACCTCCTCTGGAGTCCTCCCGACCTCGCTACCGACCTCACTACTTTCGACTGTTACCATCCAGTCTTCTCCCTACCATGACCACACCGTTGTCGAAGATCCTGGTTGGCCTGCTATGTGCGGTGTTCTTCAATGGCGCCTACGGAACAACGACGCTTCTCACATTTTCCGACGACAACTGCGGTGATTTCGTGGAGTCACTTGTAGGGAAAGACAGTTTCCCGTCTGGAGGATGCACCAAGTTCGCGAACCAGATCTCCGCCCCATATAAGAGCTTTATGCTCAACACGCTTAGTTTGGGATGTGGTGGTAGGTTTTACTCTTCATCTTTCATGGATCATGCACATATACTACCTAGGTAGTGCACATATTCAAACCACACTTCAACCAGCATCAGCTCTGATGCTTTGCGCAAATGCTATTGGCACTTCTCAAGGTGACAGTTGAAAATCCCTGATATTTCATGCCTTTGGTTTATACAGCTACGATATCGCAACTTGCACCACAGTACTAATAAGCATATGCACCTAGTCACAATATACGGCAATGACACAACCCCAGACAGCTGCTCATCCGATCTCAAGATAGTAGCCTTCCAGGGCAAATGCTACAATTCTACGTGGGCATACTACTCGGTCGACCTCTGCACGCCATTAGTCCCGTCCCCAAGCACAACAAGCGATGAATCACCACTGCAGACAGGCGCCGCGAACCCGACCGAGGCCGGGGCATCATTGGTAAATAACAGCTTGAGCTTGGGCGCGGTTGCCGGCATATCGGTAGTGAGCACCCTATTGTTTGTTGGAGCCACAGCAACAGCAATTTACTTCCTCTGGTGCCAACCCCGGATGAAGAAGCAACAAGAGCAACAGTACAACAATGGCTATAACCATGGATTTATAGAAGAACAGAAGGTCCGCACGGCAATACCACAGCAATACCCGGCGGAAGCACCTTGGCAGGCGCAGCGGCCGTGGGAACTGACGCCGAGTCCTATCGTCGAAGCACCCTACGAGACCCATCCACGACATGAAATAGGCGGTGCTTAGGGTTTCGGGAGTTGAGGGACGATAAAAAAACAGAAACGATTGGGGTACCAGCACTTATCCTTCTAAGTGGCTAGCTACGAATTTCTAGAGCCGCTTGTGCGAGAGTCGCGACGCTAGATGGCACCCGAGACAACGAAAGCAAGGGCGCATGCTTCAAGGCGAGGGTATACGACCAACGGCATCTATCTATGGGGAGATAGGTCGAAAGCCCAATCAGATCTTGAATACCTGAGAAGGAGATCTCAGCATGCATATCAGTTGACAGACTCTCTCGATGGTCGTCGCATTGGGCTGCTGCATGCATTGCAGTAATCAGGGAGCACCCGTTCATTGTACGTGCTGCGGAGAGTTCAAACTGGATTGCATTAATGCAGATAGCTTAGTCCCCAGATTCACGATCATGCATGCCGATATGCAGGTAGCGCATGCCAGCTTACCACCAGCTACTAGTACCAGGTACTGCTGTGAACAAAACAATGAAACAACAAAAAATTGTTAACGTCTGTGTTGCTCTCGATCGGGGAATCGAACCCCGGCCACCTGCGAATTGTCGTCGTGACAAGCAGGTATCCTAACCACTAGACCAATCGAGACTGAGATGTCTCGGTGTTGGAGTTCGTGTTTGCTGGTGATTGGCGGCCGGGAAAAAAAACATATATTCAAAAATTTGTGGTGGTGGAGTTGGCGCGCAATAGTTCGCGTTAGCGCCAGACCAATTCTGGGTCCTACAGTTCGCTGTAGTGAATATCTAAGCGACTGGACTTTCTGCCAGGACGGGTGGCTGGAGTCGCAGTGATTCAAGTTAACTGACCGACTGACTGTATGTTCTCGATGTGAGTCTATAAGGCTGTGATAGATAGATACTCGTAGTTGGCACGGCGTCTTTGTGCAGGAGCGAGTTAACAAGTCAATCCCGGAGGAGACATGATAGCGCATAACGATAGACCAAAACTCGGATTTGTAGACAATCTGGTTTTAAATCGCATTGGTGTTGTCTTGATTGATACCCGCCACATCCAGTATCAAAGTCGTGAGGGGTCGCCACCTCACATTATACCCAACCTAAAAACCAACCTCAACGGCTCAGATCCCAAACCCAGAAACTCAACTCAAACCAAACAACAACCACAAAAATGCCGCTCTCAGAACCAGCAATGGACCTCCCGATAATCGACCTCGACGTCTTCCTAACCTCACCCACCTCCGCCGCCGCACAAGCCGAATGCGCCGCGGCGGCGCGCGCCCTCATCACCTACGGCGCCCTCGTGCTGCGCGACAGCCGGGTTTGCGAGGCCGACAACGCGGCCTTCCTGGACGTCATGGAAGACTACTTCGCGCAGCCCGCGGCGGCCTTAGCCGCGGACCTGCGGCCCGAGGTTAACTACCAGGTGGGCGTGACGCTCGAGAACACGGAGAAGCCCAAGTGCGCCGTCGACGCGCCGTGCCTCGACGTCATCAAGCGCCTGGCGCCGGTGGAGCGCCCGCTGGACATCGGTGCCCACGCGCCTGATCCCAAGTGTCGCTTCTTCTGGCGCATGGGGGAGACGCCGCCGTACGAGACGCAGTTCCCCGGGCTGAATGCCGAGAATGTGGTGCCCGAGGAGGAGGGCATTAGGGAGAGGTGGACGCCGGTCTTGGAGAGGTGGGGGAAGTGTATGAAGAGCGCGTAGGTATTTGTTTGCATGAGCGGTGATGAGTGAATGAGTGAGGAGCTTTATACATGGACAGGATTGCTGATAGTCTCTCTTTCTCCTTAGTGTGACGGGCGTGGCTGAGATGGCCGCCGTGGGCATGGGGTTGCCCGCAGAAACATTCAGCGATGCCGGACGATACGGGTGAGTGAAGTCCCTGGGCTAATATCACATGATTTCTCTATTTCCTTCTTACCTGTCTACATCCATGTATACACCTATCACGACATGAACACTTACCCTCACACCCAAACTCAAAACTCATACAATCCCAGCCCCCACCTCCTCGCCCCCACAGCCTCCGACCTGCGCAAATACGGCTCCAAAGACACCATCCTCGCAGGCTTCCACACAGACCTCAACTTCCTCACCATCCACGGCCGCAGCCGGTATCCAGGTCTACACATCTGGGCGCGCAACACGGGGCGCAAGATCGCGGTGCGCATGCCAGCCGGAGACGGACATCTCCTGGTGCAAGCGGGGAAGCAGCTCGAGCACATCAGCGGCGGGCTCGTAAAAGCCGGGTTCCACGAAGTCGTCGTCAACGACGCCACCCTAGCCACCATGGCGCGCAGACAAGAAGAAGAGCCCGAGCGCCCTCTGATCAGAATCAGCAGCACGTTTTTCTGGACTCTGGCTAGTGATTTTGATTTGGTCCCGATCCCGAAGCTCGAGCAGACTGCGAGGGAGGTCCGGGCCGAGCAGCTGGATCTCGGACGCGATGAGGGCCAGGCCGTGACGTATCCGCCGATGAAGGTTGGCGAGCAGGTGCAGCAGTGGGTTTACCCCTTTACCTTTACCTTTACCTTTGCTGCCCTTTCTGTTCTGGTGCCATCTCTTGGTGATCACTTTTTCTGTTATTGCTCCTACATGAATTTCTCGCTGATCTATGTGTCACGTTTTAGGGAACTGAAGCATATTGCACTGATGGCTTGATTGCGATTTCCACAAATGGAGCAAGGTTTGGTTTCTTGTTGGCGTTGAGTTGGGCTGAGATCGCATGGGCGATGGATCGAGACCAACATCTACCAGCCAGCCAGCCTCTAGATGCTTGTTTGGCCAGATCGAACCTGCCAGTCAAATTTGCATTAAATATAAATTTAGATATAACGTCGCTGTGATCCCTACGAAGATCGAATGCGAAACGAGGTCATGAACATTGTTGGGAGTTGCCAGTCCACACGTTGCTCGCTAAGGCGTGATATAACCATACCACTTAAAACATGGGGAAGGTTTTATTCCGTCGAACCTTGGCATGATGTCGAACGAAACTGCTAAAATAGAAACGCAAAGACTTCGACATTGGTTTGATGAACAATGATTCAATTAAAAACTACTTTTTAGTAGGTAAGCAGCCTAGGGACGAGAGGAACCAGCCCATTTGTCTGTCATCTCTCGCCGAGCGGCACTACTTGGGAAGCTTCAGCGAGCTCCAACCCTCAGGTAACCCTGTCTAACAAAACAAACGCCGGCGACGGACCTTCCTGGTCTTGTGTTCACTGTGGAAAAAACGATGCATGCGAATCAACCCGATAACAAAATAACAATTCCGATGAGCAGTTTTGCCCAATTGGACTGTCACACTACCACCATAACCACTAAGATGGACTAGAAAAGCCGTCTGGTCCATTCACAAACTGCTTACTAAGTATACTCCTTGTGGTGCTTCCTGAGGCGCCTAATAGATACTGCCTCGCTTGGCAGGAATAGGTGGCGGTGGCTTCTTCGCGCGGCTCGGGGGTGGTGGTGGCGGCGCCTTTTTTATGCCACCCGTCATCGACGAGGCTGCCGAGATGGTAGGACGAAGTGCGTTATTGCTCGTGGTTCGGCTGAGACTTCCGTAGCTGGTGGCGGGGCTCTCGCTGCGGTCGTATTCGGGACTGCCGCTGCTCGTGGCCGTGTCGTAGTCGTCGCCGTAGCCGTCGGGACTCAGATTCTGCTGGTTGGTCTGGATCCTGCCGACAGGACGCAGGTTGTTTCGCAGGTTGGTGACGTTGCTGGTGGGCATGGTGTTGGACTGGCGGACGGATATTTCTGGGACTGGCGGCGGGGGAGCTTCGCGGTAGGAGGATACGCGGTTTACGCTGGGGCGGCGGTCCAGCTCGGGGGCTGTGTTGGTTCTTCCAGGGGAGTATCTGGGGCGAACGGGCATCGGTGGGGGCTCGGGGGTAGTTTCGCGCTCCGCGTTATATCTGTCGGTTGGGCTGGTATTCTCGGCGTAGGATCGGTTTGTTGGGCGTCGGCTGAGGGAGCCATACTCTGACGACCTGGAGCTTGGGTTCCCTTGTGTCTGGGTGGCCGCCCACTCCCTCTTGACTCTCCGGAGCTCTTCGGCACAGCGTTCGTAATGGTCTAACTCGCTGTCCAAGAAACTGCCGAGGTCTCGAACCGAATCGGCTTCGGCTTCCTTGATGTCCATCATGCGGCGGTGGACATCCTCAGATGATTCTTCGTATTTCGCTTTCGATGCACGGAGCTCGTCTTCTAATCGGAAATCTTCACGCTTCGCTTTCTGGGTCTTGGTCACGTTTGCTTCGTACGTCAGGCGGCGGCTTTCGAGCTTTTTGCGGGCAGACTGAAGGGAAGATTGTTAGTCTCGGCCTTGGATAGTGACAGAAGATGAAACAAAAGCGGCAACGAACCTGGTACTCCTTCATCATGGCGAGCGATCGCTCAAGTCCCTCCAGCCAGTATGATGTGGCATGAGAAATGTAGGTCTCCTGAAGACCTGCGATGCGTTCGTTGGCCCGTCCCATACCAATGAGGCAGTTGCCAAATTCGGAGTCTGGCTCGAAGTCCTCGCCGTGGGCTATCATGGTTCGGCCGAGGTAGCTGACGGGCAATCCCTTCTCTTTATCCTCGAAGGTCTCGCCGCGGCGAGAGAGTGATTTGACGTAGACGTTCATCGACTTGTGGAGACGGTCCATGCCTACACATACACAAGTAGGGTTAGCATTGAGCGATTCGAGGGCACGTAGGAGGAGAAGTGCATGAGCACAGTTAGAGCAGTGGCAGGATGTCGTACCATCATATCGCAGTGCCATCTCTGTCTCAAGCATTTTGAAGTCGTCGGAATGTGTGACTCTGGCCTCATGGCCCATCTTCTCGCCAGCCCATTGAAAGGCGCGATCGAATTTCTTGGTGAACACCATGATTGCGGATGTCCAGTCTTGATTGTTTCGTTTGTAGCATCAACCAGCAAAGACAACAAGACTCAAAAAACAATTGTACACAGGCAGAAGAGAGCGGGAGGGAAACGAAAGGAAGGGGAAGACACTCGATGGTCCGGGTTAAAGGGAGGCAGTTGATATTAAACCGCCCAAAAGTTGGATGGATGGACGAGGGTGGTACTATCTAAGTGCAGCTACCCCGAAGCTTCAAGTTTATTGGAGCTGGCGTGGCGTGGCGTGGGCGGGAGGCGTCGGCAACCCCTGTCTGGACCCTTCCAATCCTGGTCACGCCTGTCGTTGGCTGGCGTTCTAGAAAAGATGGCGGGCGAGGGCGTATCGCTGGCGACTGTGCAGCACCGCCTAGACGGCTCTGAAACGGCAGGACAGACTCAGAGTCGGGGGCCGGGGCACAGACTGCGGGTGGTTGGCTTGCAGCTGCTGCAGCGTGTGGGTGCAGCGTGCAGCATGCGGCGGCGGGTTCAAGGTTGCAGTGGTTATGCGGACTAGTGCAAGCCTGCAAGGGCGGCACACAAGGGTGTGCGAGTCTGCGAGATCTAAGCAAAGGCCAAGGTCGCTAAACCGGAACCAAAGCGCTGCTAAGGCCCAAGGTTCGTTAGACAGTGGAGAAATCTGGAGGATCGGTCGAGCTCAGGGGATGGTCTGGACCAGGCACAGGGCACTTCCGAGTCGCTATACGAGCTATTAGTCGTGGGCAGTCCTTTGTACGACTTT